TGTATGCGTGCACACATACATATTAAATAATTATATATAAAAATATTTAATTAGTAAACCAGTCCGATTGTGCGTTACAGCTTGTCATGATGTTAGGGATTATCTAATACTCCGTTTTAAAACCTCGTTCGCCTTGATTGGATTTGATGTGTGGTGGACAGCATCTCAACATTACCGCCGTTTCCCTCTTAGATGTAGGAAAATGCAATCTCCATCATCAAACCCCAAACTCCACAGAAACTTATATACAACTATTACAACTTTCCGAAATATAACTATGCAGAAGTTATACAGTGAAAACTAGAGATATCCCGCACGATATATCACTGTGGCATGCATTCGCACATCTCGGTCGTCTTTAACGGAAAAGCAGATTACGTCCAGGAAACCGGATATTCTCAATGCCTGCGAATGTTTCAAGACGGTACTACTTCCTTGGGACCTGCTCACTTAATTAGTGGACTTAAAATCAACCAAACTTTTATCACAGCCTTACGCTGGCTGGCGAAATTAAAACCGATGGAACTTGTAAGGGTACGCAATATTCTGACCCTTACGGCACATGGGACAACGTAATTGTTCAAGCAGTCGCAAAAATCTCACTCAAATCATCTTATGTGCCAGTACAACTCGAACACGGTAAAATCAAGTTAAGGTCAGGAACCATTTGTACACTGGCCGACAGCTTCTGTTTTGACTCCGACGACGGTTACAATTTTAAGACAACCAATGAAATCCTGCAACTTCAATCAATACGATGTCCTATACGAGGACTAGCGACCAAGATAACAGGCGATGACTCCCCCATCGTCTACAGTCTCACCACGCAAGACATCACGTTCGCCTTGACGAAAACCAAAGAGCAGCCATTATGCGGATACACTCTGCTTCGCACGGAACATCCGAAACTATTTATCTTGGAAAAAAAGCAAGGCCAAACTTTTGCCAACAAAGGTACGATCTTGTGGATAACCTCGATATAATCACTTACATGAACTCCAAGTTTGTGTATGTTGAAAAACACATCCGACATCAAAAATGATTTGTATCATAATGTCATACAACAAAAATGTGAATTGGAACGACAAGTAATAACCAACGCCTTATCCTTTGCGACTCTCTTGCCTGATGAATTCGGTATAGTTAATGAAATCGCCGGGATACATGGCCGTCACCACTGGGGAAGCTGTCCAAATAATAAATGCATCCCTGTAGAAGTTACCGTACGTCCAACCAAAGAATGTTATAACGAGTTACCCGTAACCGTTAGAAACGCTTCTTATTTTCTCACGCCCAAATCAAGAATCGTCACAAAAATCGGAAACGAGCGAGAATGTTCTCAAGAATTACCAACGTTATACCGGATAGAAGACACTTGGGTACAGTTCACGCCAAAAGCACAAGTAAGACAGTCGTCACCTCAACAACTACGACCCATGGCATCTCTTACCTGGAGTTATTTAACACCCGGACCACTAGCTGTTAGTGGAATCTATACGCAACAAGACATAGAAAAATTGAGAGACCACATTATGTTTCCCGCAGAGAAACCGGCACTGCTCAACGCCGTCGCCCGTGGGCTTATTGACATCCAGTTAACGCCGACTCCGTCTCATTATACAAATACTAGACGAAGAATCGCTCAACAAAATCGTAGACAACACCGCAGCAAAAATATAGAAAGGATTCATGAGTTTCGGATCAGCCACGGCCGGTGTCGTTGGAGTATTTATGATCGTTCGTATTGCTAAATTGGCAATTGACACCATCATCCACGGATACGCACTACATACCGTATATGGATGTAGTCTACATCTAATAGGAGCATTATGGGACTCTCTAACTAATCTCTTGCTTCACCTCAGCCGCAAGAATATGAACGAAAAAAGAGAAACGAACAATTCCCAGAAGACGCCACACCTCTCGCCACCATCTCAGACGCACCCCCCGCACTGCCAAAAGAACCGCCAGTGATAAGTCAGCCACAACTTCAAGGCTATAACACCAACCACGACCTGGAGAAATGGAATCCACGAATATAACTATCCCTCAGACATATAATGACTTACAGCAGCATCTTTATAACCTCGAACAAAACCCTAGGTCAACGTCGGGTTTATTCTCAAATAGGAGGGGAGATGTAACGTCCAGACAAATTTCAAAATTTTAATCTTTTTCAAAAATTAATTCTTTAACATATTAGTCATGACAATCGCTAACCTACATGAAAGACCGATATTAACAAATATTTAGTCTCGCATATGAGCGCTCATAAGTAAAAAAAACATGATTTGCTCGCCCCTCACCCCACCTCATTCCCAGGGTTAAAACCCCCCTAGTATACCTACTATTAGAAATTCGTTCCTGATGCAAGTTACCTATCAATTTACATATAACTACGAAATGTGAATGTAAATTGATAAACTTTACCTGTCTATCATGATTATTAAACTCTAACTATAAAATAACAATAGAAGTTACAATTAAGCTTTTCTACCATTTACATGCAAATATGAATATAAAATAAAGCAAATAAGATTATTTTAATCTATAACAAAAATTACGAAGAAGTAATGCATTTTATTTTAAATTGCAAGGGAATCGACATATTCTAAAGAATAATACCTAAAATATATGTAAGAAATTCCATTACATTTCCTCGGATTATAATTAAAATCTCCCGGTAAAACTGTCCGGTCGGTAATACGGGCATCTAGATGTGCACAGAAAAATTAATAGAGGTTGAGAAAAGAGAAACCCACGTTGAGAGAAAATACGGTGAATAAAATTAATTTGACAAAGTTTTATTAAAGATCAGTGAATAAGAAACATTGAATGTTGTTTCTTTGTTTTCAGGTGAGGGTTGTAAATAGTCTTTTGAGTTTGAATTAAATAATAAAAAAATTTACAAACTTTGTTTTAGAGAAACTATTTGTTCAGAAATCAAATTGTATTTTTCGGCATGTAGGCTGATTGTGTTTGACCACGAGTTGTTTGTTCGATATCCATTCAAGAATCACGTTATGATTTCGGTATCGATACAGATTATACACGTGATCACCCGATCCTGTACGCGTGATATTGTAAGAATGTGAAAATTCCGGCGTTTTTCGTGCCTGACTCTCGCAGAGAGCAGGCCTCAGTTCTCGTTCGACTAGCGATCCGAACACAGCGATTCTTGTGTTATCATTCAGCGTTGACGAAACGTTAACGATCGTCAAACATAGTCGTGTATTATCAAAGTTATTAACATTTTATTAAAGACTTTGGATTTAATTGTTATTCGGAGCAGTTTTGTGTTTTTTATTCCTACACATCGACTTAATGCGCGGACTCTCCGAGACAGTGGCCGTAACCGGATATAAACTATATTAATTAATGTTTGATTCGCAGCACGTTAATTCGAGGGGCGTGTACATGTGAATTAATGGTCCTTCGAGCCGGATTGCGCCGAATAAACTGTGTCCGCTCATTCTCGCGTCCCGCTGTTATCGGGATACGAAAAAACGATCCGTTGTTTAATTCAGCACTGAACTATACAACGAGGAATTTCGCGCCGGAAGTGCGCGCGCTATCTCTCTCGCTTTCTCTCTCTCGCACGGCGGGCGGTCTCACACGGCGAGCGGTCTCGCGCCAAATCCTACCCTCTCTCTCGCTCCAACGAAAGCGAGAGCCGGCCCTCGTGTTTTCGACGTTTCGCAGTGACCTTACTTTTTTCTCAAATTTCCGCTTTGGTCAGTGGCTATCCGTAGTGAAAGAATTCTACGCGTCGATTTGATATTAATACAATATCAGTACCGTTCATATCCGTGAATCATGTCGGATTTCGAGAACGGTCTCATCGCGATACGTGCGACCGTTCAATTTATGTCTCGGATAGCAGTGAATTATAAGAAGGCCGGCAAGGAGAAATTTACGATTACGAAGACTAAGCTTCGCATGGAGCAATTACGGGAGCACTGGCAAACTTGCTGTAAGCAGCACGTCGAGCTCCTGCAGGTCGCTGACAAAGACGATCTCCAACATGATTACTTCACTGACGACGAAATTAGCAAAGCTGAAGCGGTGTTCGAGGACTCGCAAGATTTCTTAGCAGGCCTACTCGACAAACAGGAGCTACGTACTCCATCTGACGCTGATCAGAGTTCTATCAGCGTCCATCACCCGTCTGGTCACGGGTCATCAGCCTTCGCGCTACCAAGGATCACCATTCCAGTTTTCAAGGGCGAAATGACCAAGTGGGAGAGCTTCCGAGACACCTTCCAGGCTTTAGTCGGCGCCCACGAAACTCTCTCGGACGCGCAGAAGCTACACTATTTGAAGTCGTTCATGGACGGGGATGCTGCGCTTCTGTTGAAGCACATCACGACTTCTGACTTGAACTACGCTGGAGCTTGGCAGATTTTGTTGGATGAGTATAACAACGCACGGTCTCTAGTCCATGCGCATATTCACGCGTTCGCGAGTCTCACTGTAATGAAGACCGAAAACGCTGCCGAATTAAAGCTGTTGCGCGATACTGTAACCGCGTCGTTATCGGCATTATCAAATTTAGGCCGAGATACCGATCAATGGGACGACTTGCTTGTGTACATCGTCACTCAAAAGTTCAGCTCGCGTACTCGTACCGAATGGAACTTGCGTTTAGGCGCGTCAACCGATTACCCTACATTTAAAACACTTCGCGAATTTATTACGGAACGTCTTCGCGGCTTATCTGATCTTGTGCCTCTTGTAACTAATTGCGCTACCGCCGGCTTGTCCGCGCGTTCCGATAAATCGAATAAAATCAAGGCAACGGTTCATAACACTACGGACCGTAAGTGTCCTTGCTGTCAGGGGAATCATTTCCTGTCATTTTGTCAGACTTTCCGAAAACGGTCGCTAGACCAACGCGGGCAGCTCGCTAGACAAGCTCGCGTCTGCTTCAATTGTTTAAGACCCGGGCATTTTCCGCTAAATTGTCCAAGTGAGAAGCGCTGTAACTCTTGTCAACGCGCTCACCATTCATTACTTCATCGCGACAACATCGGCGTAGCAATCGCCGACGCTACGGATCGAGAAGGTACGAAATCGCGACACGAATCCGCGGCAAATAAAGCGTGCGAAGCACAAGGCGCATTTAATGACGCCTCCACCAACGTAGCGACTAATTATACCGTATCTCTAGGTGCGCGATCTCAAGCTCCGATTCCCGTCCTTCTCGCTACCGCTCGGGTCCGACTTCACACGGTTGAAGGACGAACTGTACAGGCCCGCGCTCTCTTCGATCAAGGCTCGACATATAGCTTTATTTCGGAAGCTCTCGCACAGAGATTACGTCCGACGCGACGTCGCGCGAATTTACACATTACCGGTTTCGGGGAAGAATACTCTGGCATCGCGCGAGCACAAACGAGTCTTCTACTCGAATCGTGTCTCCGTCCTGGATCACGACTGCCGATTTCAGTATACATTTATCAAAAGATCACGGCTTACGCAGCTACTCAAGCGTTTTCCGTCGACGATTGGCCTCACCTGAAAGGCTTAGAACTCGCGGATCCCGATCCGTCAAATAAAGAAAATATTGAAGTATTAATCGGAGCCGACCTCTATGGTTCATTGCTACTCGGGCCAATCCAAAGGGGGCCTCCCGGTTCCCCTACGGCGCGCGCAGTTAACGTCGTTAGGTTGGATAGTTTCAGGCCCGGCAAAGTCATTGGATTTAGTATCGCTTCAGGAAGCGACGGTTATGTCTTGTGTGGCCGCTCCATCTCTAGACGAGCTCATTCAAAAATTTGGGAAACGGAGGAGATTCCCTCTAAAATCATTTACTCTCCCGAAGAGGAGCTATGCGAAACGCATTTTAGTCAAACCCATTCGCGGAATGCGGACGGCCGTTATATTATTCGATTGCCATTCCGAAATAATCAGCCTCCCGTTCTGGGCGATAGTTATAATCTCGCTCAACGGTTGTATTCCAAACGGAACGACGATTACTTCGCAATAGCGACCTTGCTGCGGAATACAATAAATTTCTCGCTGAATACGAAGTTTTAGGGCACATGGAACAGGTTCGCGATTCCACCTCGCGCCGTCGGCCTGTTTATCTCCCTCACCATCCCGTGATCCGGGAAAGCAGCTCGACAACCAAAGTGCGCGTTGTATTTAACGCTTCGAGTGTCACGTCCAACGGCTTTACTCTGAATGATTGCTTATTAGTTGGGCCTAAGCTTCAAAACGATCTCGGCGGAGTTTTGCTGAATTGGCGTTTCTATCGTTACGTCTATCTGGCGGACATTGAAAAAATGTTCCGTCAGATCCTAGTACATCCCGACGATGTAGATTACCAGAGAATCGTCTGGAGACCGAATCCGCAAAGTCCGGTCCTATCGTACCGTCTCCTCACGGTTACATACGGCACGGCTAGCGCACCGTATCTCGCGATCCGTGTTCGACATCAGCTTGCCGACGATGAGTCTCGTCGCTTTCCGCAAGCTGCAAAAATCCTTAAAAATTCGGCCTACGTGGACGATCTCTTATTTGGTGCGAATGACATCGCGTCCGCTATACAATTGCGCGCTCAGCTTAACGATTTGATGCATTCCGGCGGATTTCACTTGAGAAAATGGGCGGCTAACGATCCACAACTCTTGTCAATTATTCCATCCGGCGATCACGAGTTATCATGCGATCACGCATTTGAAGAAAATACAAGTCTAAAGGTCCTTGGCGTCGCTTGGCGCCCGACCGACGATGTATTCTTTTTTCGAACCACAGAATTCACGGAATCGCGAACCACGAAGCGGACCGTCCTATCATTTATCGCGCGGCTATTCGACCCCTTAGGTTGGGCGTCGCCCGTCGTAATTGTAGCGAAAATACTGATGCAGGATCTGTGGCTTCAAAAAATCGATTGGGATGAGATTATTCCCGCGTCACTTCTGCAAAGATGGCAAGATTACGTTAGCAGTCTTCCTAAGCTTTCTAATTGCCGTATGCCACGTTGGCTTAATACCTACGATCCCGATCACGCGGTGGAGATTCACGGATTCGCCGACGCGTCACAGCGTGCCTACGCTGCTGTCGTCTATTTACGGGTTCGCCACTCGCCTAATCGAATTTCGGTTTCGCTGCTCGCTGCCAAATCAAAAGTGGCGCCCTTAAAAACGATTGCCATTCCCCGCCTGGAACTTATGGCTATCGTACTCCTAGCACGTTTAATAAATCACGTTTTAGGCGTGCTCGAGAATCCGGATATACCGATTTACGGCTGGACAGATTCCACCGTCGCACTAGCGTGGGTCAGTCAACACCCTCAAAATGGCGAACGTTCGTCGCTACGCGAGTCTCCGAGATTCAGACGAAATTACCGACAGCGAAGTGGCATCACGTGCCGACAATCAGCAACCCGCGGATTGTGCTTCGCGCGGTATTTCGGTAGAGGAGTTTCGCGTCCAACCGCTGTGGTGGTCAGGCCCGGCCTGGCTAAAAGATCCTCCCGTCTCTTGGCCAGAGAGAAAAAAATTGCAGGACAAATTATCGGACGAAATAGAGTCAAACGTGAATGCCGAAGTTCGCGTCGCTACCGTAGATAATTCAAAGTCCGCTCCGGCAGCGGATATATTCAATATCCACGAAAATTTTACGTCGTGGGGAAAATTGCTTCGCGTCACAGGTCACGTGTTTCGTCTCTTTAGAACGCATAAAACCAGCAACAAAGCGAGCGAAATGGCGGCCGGGGTATTGACGAGCCTTGATGTCAAGAGAGCGCGGATCTTCTGGATCCAACGATTACAAGCCCTAAGCTTCAATGCCGAACTCATCGCGTTGCGTGGGAATTCTCCGCTAAGCAAATCGAGTCCTCTGCGTTCGCTAACGCCGTTTCTTGACGAAAACGGCATTATTCGGCTTGGCGGGAGACTCCGCCACTCCTTACTCATACGATGAGAGATTTCCGGTGATCCTTCCGCGTCACCGCATTACCGAATTAATTGTCGATCAAGCTCACTTGCGATCCTCGCACGGAGGTCCGCAACTTACTCTACGCGTATTACGTCAAAATTTCTGGATTCTTGGTGCGAGATCTCTTGTCAAATTCCGAATAAGAAAATGTATGACATGCATACGCGAAAGCGCGAGGACCGCAAGTCAGCTCATGGGCGATCTACCGTCACCGCGAGTGACGCCATCGCCCACCTTTCCCACTGCGGAATAGATTATGCCGGCCCCTTACAAATCATACCGTATGTCGGTCGCGGTCAGACCTCGCGGAAATATTACGTCTGCATTTTCGTATGTCTCGCAACTCGTGCGATTCATTTAGAGTATGTCTCTGATTACTCATCGGAGGGCTTTCTTGCGGCCTTTCGAAGATTCGTTAGTCGACGTGGACTTCCATCCGATGTCTATAGCGACAATGGTACGAATTTTGTAGGGGCCGACCGTGAGTTGCGACTCGCATTTATAAAAACATGTAAAGATCGCGCCGTCCACGATCACCTTGTCACTGACGGTGTACAGTGGCACTTTATACCCGCGGCGTCTCCACATTTCGGGGGACTCTGGGAGGCGGGAGTAAAGAGTTTTAAATATCATTTAAAGCGCGTTATCGGAGGTCATACTCTGTCGCAGTTGGAATTCGCGACTCTTTTGTGCCAAATCGAAGCCTGCCTTAACTCCCGTCCTCTCGCCGCATTGACAAGCGATCCGGACTCCTTCGAGGCGCTCACACCGGGGCACTTCCTGATAGGTCGCCCCCTTTTGAGTGCACCGGGAGAGTCTGTCTTAGAAATTAATGAGAATCGTTTGTCAAGATGGCAAAGGGTGCAGGCCATGCACGAACAATTTTGGAAAGCATGGTCTTCTGATTACTTGCACACGCTTCATCAGAGGCAGAAATGGCGAACGGTAGAACCACCGATTAAAATTAACGACCTCGTAATAATAAAAAACCCTCTGCTTCCCCCCGCTAAATAGGACATGGCCAGAGTCATCGAGACACACCCTGGCCCAGATGGTCACACGCGCGTCGTGACCGTTCGCACCGCGTCTTCAACGCTTAAGCGCCCGATTACTAAAATCTGCCCACTTATTAGAACAGACGAGTAACTGTCTCTTACTCATTGTAAAGATCTGTCAAACATTCCGTCTGCTATCGTTCTATTAAAATTTTAACATACTAGAATTTGTTCATCAGTCCGTTTCGTAGTTTGTACGAGGCGGGCGGTATGTTCAGAAATCAAATTGTATTTTCGGCATGTAGGCTGATTGTGTTTGACCACGAGTTGTTTGTTCGATATCCATTCAAGAATCACGTTATGATTTCGGTATCGATACAGATTATACACGTGATCACCCGATCCTGTACGCGTGATATTGTAAGAATGTGAAAATTCCGGCGTTTTTCGTGCCTGACTCTCGCAGAGAGCAGGCCCTCAGTTCTCGTTCGACTAGCGATCCGAACACAGCGATTCTTGTGTTACCATTCAGCGTTGACGAAACGTTAACGATCGTCAAACATAGTCGTGTATTATCAAAGTTATTAACATTTTATTAAAGACTTTGGATTTAATTGTTATTCGGAGCAGTTTTGTGTTTTTTATTCCTACACATCGACTTAATGCGCGGACTCTCCGAGACAGTGGCCGTAACCGGATATAAACTATATTAATTAAGGTTTGATTCGCAGCACGTTGATTCGAGGGGCGTGTACACTATTCGATATCTTATTTTGACTATTCCGAATAAGAGAGTTATAGACGCATTATAAAACAACATCTTGTTGAAAATTTATACAAAATGGAGAAGTTAAGATTTGACTTTATGGTAAGAGGATCAACAGACGGAAAATCGAACATATGTGCTTAACCTCAATAGGAACACCCGATGATCGTTCTTTCGGCTTCCCAGAGGAATATCAGCCAGCACATTTACACACAGAGCTGACAAAAACACAAATATTTGCTAAAGTGAAGAATTCATTAAAAAAAAGACACCAATCAAGAAAAGTATGGATTGGTTTATCAGAAACCTTAACTAAAGTGTATTTGGATGAAGAAGAAACTTACAATTTGGCGATTATTATTTAGAAGAAATCACAGAGAAAAAACTACTACGGCATCTGAACCTAGTTCTTCAGAGGAAATAATGAGAAAAATATTGGAGAAATTAATGGAAGAGAAACAACAAAAATCCGAAATAAAAAATCTAGGAAAAATAGCACAGGATTTTATGCTTGAAAAATTCACTGGAAAAACCTCCAATGCCCACCAATGGATAAATGAATTTGAAAGAGAGTGCGAACGTTTTGAGATAAATGAAGATAGAAAGAAGATCGAAACTTTAAATTTTTTCTAGAAAAAAGCGTGTGTAGATTGGTACAGCTGCATGCTGATAAAAATTTACAGTACAATCAGAATGGAAGAATGGAAAAAAAACTTTTGTGAAACATTTGCAAACAAAGGGTGGATCCCAAAGATATGCACTCTCATTCAAATTCCAATCAGGTCCTCTGTTGGATTATGCCATAAAAAAAGAAAAATTATTATTAGAAGTAAGAAAATCAATAGACACAGGAACTTGATAGATCTCATCGCAGCCGGTCTACCAAACTTTATATCTGATAGGATTGACAGAGAAACTCTGAACGAAACTGAAGACCTTTACAACGAACTAGGCAAACTGGAACACCTGGTTAATAAAACAGATTTGAAATCAAGAAGAACAAGACTGATAACATAAAGAAAAAACACCATGTAAAATTTGTAAAGACAATAACAAAGGCACACGTTATCACCCGGAATCAGCATGTTGGTTCAAAGATAAAGAAAACAAAATAAAAATGTCAATAACGCCGTCCTAGAAATGGAACTAAATTGCAATGAGCAAAAAAAACTAATAATTCCACCATTGATCGAACTCAAGATATTACTAAATGAGACATTGGAAGCACTGGGATATATGATTCAGGCTCGAATGTTTCATTAATAAACTCTAGAATACTGAATCTAAGAAAAGATAAAAATAACAATATAAGAAAAGTAAACTTAAGAACGATCAATGGTGTGAACCAAACCGAAGGCATGATAACAATAAAAGCAAAAATTCTTAATATAGAAAGAAATAGACGTTTTTGTAATAAATAACAAAATTTCAATTATGAATTTCTAATCGGACTGGATTGTATAAAAAAATTTGGATTAATACAGAATGAGAATTTAAAAATAGACAAAAAAATTCCTGACATAACAGACAAAAGAAATACAAATGCTCTTAATACCACAAACAAAAATCCAAAAGAAAGAAAGAGGATAGAAACCATAAAGAAGCTTGTAAATTTCAAATGACAAGCTACAACAAATAAACTTTAATGAACATGTAGATACAGATAATTTACAAATCTCAATAAACCACCTAGATCACTACGAAAAATTAAAAATAGAAAATCTTATAGAAAAATACAAAACATTATTTGCCAAGGACAAATACGACATTGGCACAGTAAAAGATTATGAAGCAAGAATAGATTTAATGATAGATAAGTATTGCAGCAAGAGACCATATAGATGTACAATCAAAGATAAAAAGAAATAGAACAACAAATTGCGGAGCTGTAAAAAGAAACTTGATAGAAGAATCATACAGTCCTTTTTGCTGCCCCAGTGACGCTAGCATATAAAAGGACGAAGATAGAAGATCAAGATTATGCATCGACTTTAGAGATCTGAACAAAATAATTATCCCTCAATCACAACCATTCCCATTGATTGAGGACCTAGTGACAAAAACAAGAAACTGCAAATATTTTTCCAAACTCGACATAAACTCGGCATTCTGGTCAATCCCACTACGGGTGGAAGATAGAAGAAAAACAGGATTTATAACCCAAGAAGGACACTTTCAGTGGACCTGCTTGCCATTTGGCCTAAAGACGTCGCCAGCTATTTTTCAAAGAATCCTGAACAACATAATGAGAAAACACAATCTCTCAAACTTTACAGTAAACTACATAGACGATATCTTGATTTTCTCAAAATCATTCGATGAACATATTGACCATTTAACACAATGCTAGACGCAATAATGAAGGAGGGCTTTAGATTGAAATTTTCTAAATGCACTTTCGCATCAAATTCAGTCAAGTACTTAGGTCACAAGATAAAAAATAACTCAGTCTCTCCAATAAAAGATAATCTAATATCAATACAAAATTTTCCTGTGCCACAATCACAAAAAACACATTCGCCAGTTCTTAGGAAAAATTAACTTTTACAATGAATACGTGCCACATAATTCATAATACTGGACCCACTGCACAAATATTAAGAAAAGGACAAAGATTCGTCTGGTCGGAAGATTGCCAAGAAGCCTTTAAAAAATAAAAAACATTCTTTGCACTCAACCGGTTTTAACTATCTTCAATCCAGATCTACCAATACATATTACACGGATGCATGCTTGAAAGGTGTAGGAGCTATACTAAAAACCACAAAACTGGATGAAGAAATAGGAAAAGAAATAGAAAAACCGGTGGCGTATTTCTCGAAGAAGCTAAACGAAGCCCAAAAAAAAGAAGGCTATATACCTAGAATGCCTAGGAATAAAAGAAGCAGTAAAATACTGGCAACACTGGCTCATGGGCAGATCATTCAAAGTCTTTTCAGATCATAAACCACTAGAAAAACTTAACATCAAGCAAGACCAGACGAAGAATTAGGCGATCTAACGTTATTACTTAGCACAATATGATATGGAAATAATATACCACCCGGGTAAGAATAACTTGGAGGCAGACTGTTTAAGTAGAAACCCTGTGCTGGAGGCACATGAGAATCAAGAGGAAGACTTAAAAATCGTGAATTTAATAAACCTAGAAGAAATTCTGAAAGATCAAAAACAAAACAAAGATTTACAGACTGACAAAATAGACTAAAACTATAATATACTATAAATAAAATATACTATAAGAAGATCAAAGAAAAAGAAAAAATTATACTATCAGAAAAATTCAGTAAAGAAGTAATAAGAAGAACACATCAGAATTTCTGCCATATAGGTATAAACAAACAAACACAAAACAAAATCAGAAATTATTACACAGCACAAAATTTAACAAAGAATATAAAAGAAATTTGTAGAGCTGTGTGAGATCTGCATAAAAAATAAATCAAGAGGACAGAAGAAATTTGGCCTAATGTCTCAATTAGGTCCCGCAAAAGAACCGTTTGAAATAGTTTCCATCGACACAATCGGCGGCTTCGGGGGCTCACGATCCACAAAAAAATACTTACATCTCTTGGTAGACCATTTCACGAGATTTGGATATATTTTAACATCCAAAACCCAAAATTCCACGGATTTTATAAAATTAATAAAAAAGTAACGAAAACAACGACATCGGTATGATCTTAACGGATCAATATCCGGGAATAAACTCCAAGGTTTTTAAGAAATTTTTGGACGACAAAAATATCCCAATTATATTTACGGCAGTAAACGCACCTTTCTCCAATGGCCTGAATGAAAGATTGAACCAAACGTTGGTTAATAAAATTAGATGCAAAGTAAACGAGAAAAAGAACAAGAAAGCAGCATGGACAACTATAGCACACGAATGTGTAAGAAAATACAATGAAATAGAACACACAGTCACTAAATTCACCTCAAAATATCTATTAGAAGGCACGGATACCTCAATGTTACCAATCGAATTAAAACAAGAAAGATCAAACGAAGATCTAAAACTAGACAGGAAAACTGCTTTAGAAAATAGTATAAAATATCACGTTTATAATAAAAAGATAATTGACAAAAACCGAAGAGATTACAAATTTAATGTAGGAGAATCAGTATATGTCGAGAACGGGAACCGCTTAAACAAAAGAAATTAGACGAGTTAAAATAGGACCATACAAATCTTACAAAAAATATCACACTCAATATATAAAGTAGACACAGGTCATAAGAAAACAGAGTCAAATTTATTTCATATCACTAAACTGTTTCCAGTCTCAGAGTCCGCTTACACAGAAGAAGACATGTACACGTCATAAAAAAAAAAAAAAAAAAAAATATTGTAAACATATTTTCTCTCTTAGGGGGGGGAGATGTAAGGAAATTCCATTACATTTCCTCGGATTAATTTAAAATCTCCCGGTAAAACGGTCGGTAATACGGGCATCTAGATGTGCAAGAAAAATTAATAGAGGTTAGAAAAGAGAAACCCACGTGGAGAGAAAATACGGTGAATAAAATTTAATTTGACAAAGTTTTATTATAATAGAATCAGTGAATAAGAAACATTGAATGTTGTTTCTTTGTTTTTCAGGTGAGGGTTGTAAATAGTCTTTTGAGTTTGAATTAATAAAAAAATTTACAAACTTTGTTTTTCAGAGAAACTATTTGTTCAGAAATCAAATTGTATTTTTCGGCATGTAGGCTGATTGTGTTTGACCACGAGTTGTTTGTTCGATATCCATTCAAGAATCACGTTATGATTTCGGTATCGATACAGATTATACACGTGATCACCGATCCTGTACGCGTGATATTGTAAGAATGTGAAAATTCCGGCGTATTTCGTGCCTGACTCTCGCAGAGAGCAGGCCCTCAGTTCTCGTTCGACTAGCGATCCGAACACAGCGATTCTTGTGTTACCATTCAGCGTTGACGAAACGTTAACGATCGTCAAACATAGTCGTGTATTATCAAAGTTATTAACATTTTATTAAAGACTTTGGATTTAATTGTTATTCGGAGCAGTTTTGTGTTTTTATTCCTACACATCGACTTAATGCGCGGACTCTCCGAGACAGTGGCCGTAACCGGATATAACTATATTAATTAAGGTTTGATTCGCAGCACGTTGATTCGAGGGGCGTGTACATGTGAATTAATGGTCCTTCGAGCCGGATTTGCGCCGAATAAACTGTGTCCGCTCATTCTCGCGTCCCGCTGTTATCGGGATACGAAAAAACGATCCGTTGTTTAATTCAGCACTGAACTATACAACGAGGAATTTCGCGCCGGAAGTGCGCGCGCTATCTCTCTCGCTTTCTCTCTCTCGCACGGCGGGCGGTCTCACACGGCGAGCGGTCTCGCGCCAAATCCTACCCTCTCTCTCGCTCCAACGAAAGCGAGAGCCGGCCCTCGTGTTTTCGACGTTTCGCAGTGACCTTACTTTTTTCTCAAATTTCCGCTTGGTCAGTGGCTATCCGTAGTGAAAGAATTCTACGCGTCGATTTGATATTAATACAATATCAGTACCGTTCATATCCGTGAATCATGTCGGATTTCGAGAACGGTCTCATCGCGATACGTGCGACCGTTCAATTTATGTCTCGGATAGCAGTGAATTATAAGAAGGCCGGCAAGGAGAAATTTACGATTACGAAGACTAAGCTTCGCATGGAGCAATTACGGGAGCACTGGCAAACTTGCTGTAAGCAGCACGTCGAGCTCCTGCAGGTCGCTGACAAAGACGATCTCCAACATGATTACTTCACTGACGACGAAATTAGCAAAGCTGAAGCGGTGTTCGAGGACTCGCAAGATTTCTTAGCAGGCCTACTCGACAAACAGGAGCTACGTACTCCATCTGACGCTGATCAGAGTTCTATCAGCGTCCATCACCCGTCTGGTCACGGGTCATCAGCCTTCGCGCTACCAAGGATCACCATTCCAGTTTTCAAGGGCGAAATGACCAAGTGGGAGAGCTTCCGAGACACCTTCCAGGCTTTAGTCGGCGCCCACGAAACTCTCTCGGACGCGCAGAAGCTACACTATTTGAAGTCGTTCATGGACGGGATGCTGCGCTTCTGTTGAAGCACATCACGACTTCTGACTTGAACTACGCTGGAGCTTGGCAGATTTTGTTGGATGAGTATAACAACGCACGGTCTCTAGTCCATGCGCATATTCACGCGTTCGCGAGTCTCACTGTAATGAAGACCGAAAACGCTGCCGAATTAAAGCTGTTGCGCGATACTGTAACCGCGTCGTTATCGGCATTATCAAATTTAGGCCGAGATACCGATCAATGGGACGACTTGCTTGTGTACATCGTCACTCAAAAGTTCAGCTCGCGTACTCGTACCGACCGAATGGAACTTGCGTTTAGGCGCGTCAACCGATTACCCTACATTTAAAACACTTCGCGAATTTATTACGGAACGTCTTCGCGGCTTATCTGATCTTGTGCCTCTTGTAACTAATTGCGCTACCGCCGGCTTGTCCGCGCGTTCCGATAAATCGAATAAAATCAAGGCAACGGTTCATAACACTACGGACCGTAAGTGCCTTGCTGTCAGGGGAATCATTTCCTGTCATTTTGTCAGACTTTCCGAAAACGGTCGCTAGACCAACGCGGGCAGCTCGCTAGACAAGCTCGCGTCTGCTTCAATTGTTTAAGACCCGGGCATTTTCCGCTAAATTGTCCAAGTGAGAAGCGCTGTAACTCTTGTCAACGCGCTCACCATTCATTACTTCATCGCGACAACATCGGCGTAGCAATCGCCGACGCTACGGATCGAGAGGTACGAAATCGCGACACGAATCCGCGGCAAATAAAGCGTGCGAAGCACAAGGCGCATTTAATGACGCCTCCACCAACGTAGCGACTAATTATACCGTATCTCTAGGTGCGCGATCTCAAGCTCCGATTCCCGTCCTTCTCGCTACCGCTCGGGTCCGACTTCACACGGTTGAAGGACGAACTGTACAGGCCCGCGCTCTCTTCGATCAAGGCTCGACATATAGCTTTATTTCGGAAGCTCTCGCACAGAGATTACGTCCGACGCGACGTCGCGCGAATTTACACATTACCGGTTTCGGGGAAGAATACTCTGGCATCGCGCGAGCACAAACGAGTCTTCTACTCGAATCGTGTCTCCGTCCTGGATCACGACTGCCGATTTCAGTATACATTTATCAAAAGATCACGGCTTACGCAGCTACTCAAGCGTTTTCCGTCGACGATTGGCCTCACCTGAAAGGCTTAGAACTCGCGGATCCCGATCCGTCAAATAAAGAAAATATTGAAGTATTAATCGGAGCCGACCTCTATGGTTCATTGCTACTCGGGCCAATCCAAAGGGGGCTCCCGGTTCCCCTACGGCGCAGTTAACGTCGTTAGGTTGGATAGTTTCAGGCCCGGCAAAGTCATTGGATTTAGTATCGCTTCAGGAAGCGACGGTTATGTCTTGTGTGGCCGCTCCATCTCTAGACGAGCTCATTCAAAAATTTTGGGAAACGGAGGAGATTCCCTCTAAAATCATTTACTCTCCCGAAGAGGAGCTATGCGAAACGCATTTTAGTCAAACCCATTCGCGGAATGCGGACGGCCGTTATATTATTCGATTGCCATTCCGAAATAATCAGCCTCCCGTTCTGGGCGATAGTTATAATCTCGCTCAACGGTTGTATTCCAAAACGGAACGACGATTACTTCGCAATAGCGACCTTGCTGCGGAATACAATAAATTTCTCGCTGAATACGAAGTTTTAGGGCACATGGAACAGGTTCGCGATTCCACCTCGCGCCGTCGGCCTGTTTATCTCCCTCACCATCCCGTGATCCGGGAAAGCAGCTCGACAACCAAGTGCGCGTTGTATTTAACGCTTCGAGTGTCACGTCCAACGGCTTTACTCTGAATGATTGCTTATTAGTTGGGCCTAAGCTTCAAAACGATCTCGGCGGAGTTTTGCTGAATTGCGTTTCTATCGTTACGTCTATCTGGCGGACATTGAAAAAATGTTCCGTCAGATCCTAGTACATCCCGACGATGTAGATTACCAGAGAATCGTCTGGAGACCGAATCCGCAAAGTCCGGTCCTATCGTACCGTCTCCTCACGGTTACATACGGCACGGCTAGCGCACCGTATCTCGCGATCCGTGTTCGACATCAGCTTGCCGACGATGAGTCTCGTCGCTTTCCGCAAGCTGCAAAAATCCTTAAAAATTCGGCCTACGTGGACGATCTCTTATTTGGTGCGAATGACATCGCGTCCGCTATACAATTGCGCGCTCAGCTTAACGATTTGATGCATTCCGGCGGATTTCACTTGAGAAAATGGGCGGCTAACGATCCACAACTCTTGTCAATTATTCCATCGGCGATCACGAGTTATCATGCGATCACGCATTTGAAGAAAATACAAGTCTAAAGGTCCTTGGCGTCGCTTGGCGCCCGACCGACGATGTATTCTTTTTTCGAACCACAGAATTCACGGAATCGCGAACCACGAAGCGGACCGTCCTATCATTTATCGCGCGGCTATTCGACCCCTTAGGTTGGGCGTCGCCCGTCGTAATTGTAGCGAAAATACTGATGCAGGATCTGTGGCTTCAAAAAATCGATTGGGATGAGATTATTCCCGCGTCACTTCTGCAAAGATGGCAAGATTACGTTAGCAGTCTTCCTAAGCTTTCTAATTGCCGTATGCCACGTTGTGGCTTAATACCTACGATCCCGATCACGCGGTGGAGATTCACGGATTCGCCGACGCGTCACAGCGTGCCTACGCTGCTGTCGTCTATTTACGGGTTCGCCACTCGCCTAATCGAATTTCGGTTTCGCTGCTCGCTGCCAAATCAAAAGTGGCGCCCTTTAAAAACGATTGCCATTCCCCGCCTGGAACTTATGGCTATCGTACTCCTAGCACGTTTAATAAATCACGTTTTAGGCGTGCTCGAGAATTCGGATATACCGATTTACGGCTGGACAGATTCAACCGTCGCACTAGCGTGGGTCGTCAACACCCCTCAAAATGGCGAACGTCGTCGCTACGCGAGTCTCCGAGATTCAGACGAAATTACCGACAGCGAAGTGGCATCACGTGCCGACAATCAGCAACCCCGCGGATTGTGCTTCGCGCGGTATTTCGGTAGAGGAGTTTCGCGTCCACCCGCTGTGGTGGTCAGGCCCGGCCTGGCTAAAAGATCCTCCGTCTCTTGGCCAGAGAGAAAAAAATTGCAGGACAAATTATCGGACGAAATAGAGTCAAACGTGAATGCCGAAGTTCGCGTCGCTACCGTAGATAATTCAAAGTCCGCTCCGGCAGCGGATATATTCAATATCCACGAAAATTTTACGTCGTGGGGAAAATTGCTTCGCGTCACAGGTCACGTGTTTCGTCTCTTTAGAACGCATAAAACCAGCAACAAAGCGAGCGAAATGGCGGCCGGGGTATTGACGAGCCTTGATGTCAAGAGAGCGCGGATCTTCTGGATCCAACGATTACAAGCCCTAAGCTTCAATGCCGAACTCATCGCGTTGCGTGGGAATTCTCGCTAAGCAAATCGAGTCCTCTGCGTTCGCTAACGCCGTTTCTTGACGAAAACGGCATTATTCGGCTTGGCGGGAGACTCCGCCACTCCTTACTCTCATACGATGAGAGATTTCCGGTGATCCTTCCGCGTCACCGCATTACCGAATTAATTGTCGATCAAGCTCACTTGCGATCCTCGCACGAGGTCCGCAACTTACTCTACGCGTATTACGTCAAAATTTCTGGATTCTTGGTGCGAGATCGCTTGTCAAATTCCGAATAAGAAAATGTATGACATGCATACGCGAAAGCGCGAGGACCGCAAGTCAGCTCATGGGCGATCTACCGTCACCGCGAGTGACGCCATCGCCCACCTTTTCCCACTGCGGAATAGATTATGCCGGCCCCTTACAAATCATACCGTATGTCGGTCGCGGTCAGACCTCGCGGAAATATTACGTCTGCATTTTCGTATGTCTCGCAACTCGTGCGATTCATTTAGAGTATGTCTCTGATTACTCATCGGAGGGCTTTCTTGCGGCCTTTCGAAGATTCGTTAGTCGACGTGGACTTCCATCCGATGTCTATAGCGACAATGGTACGAATTTTGTAGGGGCCGACCGTGAGTTGCGACTCGCATTTATAAAAACATGTAAAGATCGCGCCGTCCACGATCACCTTGTCACTGACGGTGTACAGTGGCACTTTATACCCGCGGCGTCTCCACATTTCGGGGGACTCTGGGAGGCGGAGTAAGAGAGTTTTAAATATCATTTAAAGCGCGTTATCGGAGGTCATACTCTGTCGCAGTTGGAATTCGCGACTCTTTTGTGCCAAATCGAAGCCTGCCTTAACTCCCGTCCTCTCGCCGCATTGACAAGCGATCCGGACTCCTTCGAGGCGCTCAACCGGGGCACTTCCTGATAGGTCGCCCCCTTTTGAGTGCACCGAGAGTCTGTCTTAGAAATTAATGAGAATCGTTTGTCAAGATGGCAAAGGGTGCAGGCCATGCACGAACAATTTTGGAAAGCATGGTCTTCTGATTACTTGCACACGCTTCATCAGAGGCAGAAATGGCGAACGGTAGAACCACCGATTAAAAATTAACGACCTCGTAATAATAAAAAACCCTCTGCTTCCCCCGCTAAATAGGACATGGCCAGAGTCATCGAGACACACCCTGGCCCAGATGGTCACACGCGCGTCGTGACCGTTCGCACCGCGTCTTCAACGCTAAGCGCCCGATTACTAAAATCTGCCCACTTATTAGAACAGACGAGTAACTGTCTCTTACTCATTGTAAAGATCTGTCAAACATTCCGTCTGCTATCGTTCTATTAAAATTTTAACATACTAGAATTTGTTCATCAGTCCGTTGTTTCGTAGTTTGTACGAGGCGGGCGGTATGTTCAGAAATCAAATTGTATTTTTCGGCATGTAGGCTGATTGTGTTTGACCACGAGTTGTTTGTTCGATATCCATTCAAGAATCACGTTATGATTTCGGTATCGATACAGATTATACACGTGATCACCCGATCCTGTACGCGTGATAT